TCGAAGATGGGCAAAATCGGCCCACTGCCACGCCCACAAAATGGCGGAAACCGAAAACCTATAAAATGTCATAACTAAGCCGTAAATAAAGATATTAAAATGAAATTTGGCACAAAGGATCGCACTAGGGAGGGGGCATATTTGGAAGTAATTTTTTTGGAAAAGTGGACGTGGCCCCGGCCCCTACTACCTTTTTTGTACATATCTCRAAAACTACTATAGCTATGTCAACCAAACTGTATAGAGTCGTTTCTTTTAGGCATCTCCATATACAGTTCAAAAATGAAAGCAGTCGGACAATAACCACGCCCACCTCCCATACAAAGGTTATGTTGAAAATCACTAAAAGTGCTTTAACCGACTAACATAAAACGCCAGAAATACGGAAGAAATGTCAGAAGGAAGCTGCATCCTGGTTTTTTTTTTAAATTGAAAATGGGCGTGGCGTCGCCCACTTATGAACCAAAAATCATATCTCAGGAAGTACTCAACCGATTTCAATGAAATTCGGTATATAATATTTTCTTAACACCGTGATGACATGTACCAATAATGGGTGAAATCGGTTCACAACCACGCCTAAAATCTCGATTATCACTTTATCATGCGAGAGTATAAAATGTTCGGTGACACCCGAACTTAGCCCTTCCTTACTTGTTTTTTTAATAAAAACAAAAAATTCAAACTATCCTTTATTCCGTCCATAGATTTTTAATATCCTGTATATCATCCGTGTTTTTTCGTAAGTTTTCCAGTTTTATTTGGCATCGATTAAATTAATTTTTGGCAGGTTTCTAATGGGGTATCATCCCAAAGTTTCTTTGCTTTCCGCCACTATCCTTCTCGTGTTCTCGTCTTAAGGTCACTCCACAAGTCCTCAATCCACAGAGGATTTACTAGGCCACTACAGATCACATTTGAAGCCTTCAACTAATCAGATGCCAACCCCAATGTTTGTTTCGGGTCGATATCTTGTTAATAACACCATCGCAACGGTACGTTTTCTTCAGCATATGGTAGCATAACGTTTTGCAAAATATTTCTGTACTCGAAGGCGGTCATTGTGCCCATCAAAATAAAAAAGACCTGCGCCTTGCTAGGAGAAATTGCCCCAGCAGCAAAAGCTTTTCCCTTTAGTACAAGAGGAATTTTACTCACTTTACGATCCTGTAGATTACCATTCACTAATCGACGTCAGATTGGCCCTGATCTGACATTTAGTATAGCTTTCGCTGCAATTTGTCGAGAAGTAGTATATGGCGATCAGCAATTATTCCAGTTTTTCTTTGACAATCACGGGGTTCCTTTTAATTTTTTTGCTTCAGAGTTTAAGTTAGAAAGTTTTTCGACCGCCCCAAAACTTTTTTGCAATGAATTTGTATATGTTTTCTTCACCACGTTCAAAACTACTAAAAACGCGTTAAATCATTAACTAATTAACTTTAAGCCGCGTGTGTATATCGGCCGTTATTTGAGTTATCTCATAGGAAATGAGTGACCATTATCTATTTTAGGCACAAAGATACACTGTCTTACTCAGTAAAATAGATACAATTGGGCGAAAACTTGACCTAGAACCCATATAACTAATATCCGGCTGACTTTGCTCCATATGTTGGTGATTGTATGTGAGGTACCTTGATGAAACCCAGATAGCATTTTTTAGAATCTAGCATGATAATAGTCAATACATAAAATCGGGTGGGTAGTATCTACATACTCATAAACCCCTATACTACATATGTATAATGATTTCTGCTTCCCTAACAAATCTTATGCCAAATTTTTCCGTCAGTATATGAGTTATATAGACTATATGAATGTGTATTGCTTAAATTCCGATTCTCTGGTTGACGTTTTACACAAAAAGATACAAAGATATTTCTCTGACTTTGATTAATGCAAGTTGCAAGTATAAAAAGTTCGGTTTCACTCGAACTTGGTCTTTTCTTACTTGTTTAATATTACTTACATCTATGTATTTTATTGACTACATCAATTTAATTAGCAAATTATAACTTGTCACTCATACGCAAAATGAACCAAATAATAATGCAAGTTGTTGCAACTGACGCTCTATTCATTCGCCTTCATCGTAAAAATATAACGGTATAAACGGTAACAGTTACAACACCATTTGATGAAAAAATAGTATCAGCTACACTCACACCCCTTATTTTGTCGATATGTGTTTATATTCGAATAGGAACCACATCGTCTCAATAGCACCCAACCGGATTATGGAATTTATGAGAGTGCTGGGCTTAAGTGAAGCTGTGTGAYACAAGAGAAGTTAGACAGTGCTAGCCGCAATTACTTCTATCTGTCTTTCATGAACTTATATGTATGTACTTTTATCSTGATAAGAGCTGTCAACTCAGCACCATTCTTCAAAGTAGCCAATCCATCGTAGCAAAGCAAAGAATTCGAAACTTTTGCTACCAAACTTAACTTAAAAATTTTCATTTTGATAGATAAAACTGAAATCGTTTATATTTAAATTGAGTTTACGAAAAAAATATGAATCCGCTAACTTACATTCGGAATGGTATGATAGCAATTTCGTATCTTGTATCGTGTATCTAACAGTATGCGATGGATTGCGCGATAGGGCTGATTTGCAAAATGTTTTTTGCAGTTACACTAACAATTACAACTTGTTCTCTATTTGGCAGTTATAAGCATTAAGAATTTGTAGTTGTTAACACTATTGTCGTACTATTCCATAGTTACTATACTTAAAACTCTGATGTATTTCTGGTAATTAGATTTTAATTTTTCTTATGAGAAGCATCTTGTATAAAGCACATTAATAATTTTTAACATTTGTTAAAGCTGTATTTTTTTTTTTTGTTACACCACGTGTTATGATATACAAAACTATTCCACTTTATTTCATCGTATTTCCCGGTTAAAGTCAAATAACTAGTTTGGTCAAACATTCACATTTTTGTCCTCTAAAAGCCACGATAGCATCAACAATCAAAATTAAAGTTAGGTTCGATATTTTTAATTTAAAATGCAACACTCAAACAAGAATTTCGTTCGATCTAAAATGATAACGTTGTTTAGCCAACAGCTTGAATGCATTTCGTATCCTACATTTGCAGCTTTGCGGGACACATTTGCATGATTTCGCTTTTGGTTTTCTCCTCAGTGATTTATCTAAAAAAAAGATTTCACAACACGATTGATTAAATTCTAATAAAAATTTTAAATTACTTACCAATCTTTGCATTCTCATTGGATTGCCTCGCTTTATTRCCTAGTATTTTTTGAAACATGTCTAAAACTATAGTATGTATTTGTAGACACGACGGTATTGTGAATTATAGTGAAACTTAACTCGTTCTTATTTTGTACTTATATTAATTATTTGCTTTTTATGAGTGCACTCAGCTAAACTTGCGGTCGGATTGTTTTTTCCATTAATTTTTTTATCGTAACCACAAAATATTTGGGGATGTGTGCACATGATTAAATTMATTTATAACTTTTAACCACAAAGTTTTTTTCCCATATAAGTCTGAAACGTTATTCATAAATCATATTGGAAACTTGAATTTAATTTTATATTTAGTTATATTTTATTTTTGGTCAACATATTATCCATTTACCATATTTAACGGGTTTTTAACACAAATTTTAAACGATTCATATTAGTCTTGAGTTAAACTGACATAATATATTATAGGTCAAAATTATTTCTGATAATAATATATAACGAGTTATTTCACGACCATTGAATATGATATCAACATCGTTATTATATGAAATTGTGAAAAAACTATAGTCAAAGAGTACGACCGTAATCATTATATTGAGGTTAAGGGAATGTCATGGTCGCAATGCTTTTCTGACCCTAATCCTACCTTTCTGTCTCTCTCTAGTGATCGGAATTCTAACTGGATTTAAAGTTTTAGAAAATCTGTGGGTTTAAGAAGTTAAGATTCAATGATATATGAAGGTTTAATCCATCATTAAGGGAATAATGCAATTGTGATTTGTCGATCAGGTATCAACCACAAAGCCTAACATTTATAAGTCGTCCATATAAATGTTATTATTATTCACACTATTATTAGGATATTCTCTTCTTCCAAAATCTTTGCAAACATTTTCAATCTGTGCAAGAGCACAACAACAAAACACACGCAAACACCCAACACCCATGATAATTTTYGTCCACTGAAGCGTAGCAAAATAATTGCAACTTGGAGAAAGTTGTAATGTTACATAACCTCCGATGAGAGATAGGCTAGCGTTACAAATACAATACAATACAAATACAATACAAAGTTTCTTTGCAATACGTCTCAAAAAACAGGAGAAAAGAAATTTGGTAGCACCAGTGTTATATTAGCTAGGGGTAATTTCGAAACTACTCTCTGCGAAAATTACCATCTTTCCGTTCACGAGACGAAGGTCTTTGCTCGCCCTCAGGAAATTATCCCGGCAGAGAGTTGGAAATGGCTAATATGGTCAAATATCTGGGCGTCTCTCTGGATCCGATTCTTTTATAAAGCTACAAAACATACCGAAAACTCACACCGCTTCACGTAGTAATAAATCAAGCACAAAACACAATGCTTCAAATGACAKCAGAAGGATTTGACAGAGAGAAGGTAATCTCGTCTCAGCAAACCCAAGGGACAGTGTTACCAAACATCACTAGGAAATTTAAAGTTACCCTGTCAGCAAGGCTGAATGCAATGATTCCCCGCTCGACCTATTGTTAAGGGGATAGCACATCAACGGCTTGAAAACGTCGGAGGGAAATGGTGCAGGAGTCACAGCACTACGTATGTGAAGTTATCCGAGCATCTTTCATGCAGAAGCATTTGCTATAAGTTGTGTTAAACCTCCTCATACTCAGCTATAGCCAAGTGGCACTTAAAGCGATCTCCGCTTATGAGATTTAAACGCTACTGGTGCAGTAGTGCATAGATTTGCCTTTAACGAAGGAAAACAGCGCGACTTTCGGCGTTAGTGGGCTATGTTGAAGAACTTTCAAAGATGTATAGTATTGCCAAATACGAGATCTGTAGTGCTGGAAAGATGGAAACGTCGGAGACCACTTCTGATCAGGAATTACTAAAAACGACCCAATAATTTTCACAATATTTTCCTAAAAAGTAAAATCAAACTAAAATTGATTTTAGACTTAATGGAAGTATAAGCAGTTCGAGAAACGTTATACCCCCACCTAGCCATATCAATTCAATATATAATATTAGTTTGTCAAAAAAGTCTTGCGGTATTTTCGCTAGTTGGCGCTGAGAGCGCGTAGTTCTAGTTATATTCGTCCCATCGGGTCATGCTGTACCTTTTTGGAAAGCTCATTTCACCCGCTAAACATGGAAAAAAATAAAGAGAAAATACGGCATATTTTACAGTACTACTACGATAAAGGAAAAAATGTATCTCAATAGTAGCAGCCGTAGCATAGCTCAAGAGCTGCGCATGAGTCATCAAAAAGATTTTTATGAAAATTGAAAATTCAATCAAAAAATATCGCAAGACTTTTTTGACAWCCATACATATGTATATTTATACTTATGCTTTTACCTTTTATAAAATACTCTTGAAATACCAGTTTTATCTTATTCAATTAATATTATTATTATTCGTATTTGATTTGTTCATGCTATATAATTACATAATCAACTTACAGATAAAACATTTACATTCTAGTTATCGCATTCTTTCAATATGTTAACTATCAAAGCTACAAATTGTACACAAACATAATCAATAACAAGAAGCCATATCAATACAGTTGACATATGTATGCACATAATATATCATGTACTTTTTTACATGTGTTGTCTAATATAGACAGATCTAACGTCTCTCCAAAATATATTGCGTCTATGCATTTTTTTTTTCTTTGTAAATTGACGTTTTTTTATTATTTTCAAATTTTTTATTTAATTTTTTTTTATGGTAAACAATCTTGATGTGGAAGGTTTTAGTAATAAAAATTATAAGTTATTTCGCTTATATTGAAAACATTAACTTGCCTGATTCAGTCTCTCTCCTACAATTATTAATGTTTATTATATTCTCGTATTCATATAATAATAATATATATTATATAGTAAATATAAAAAAACCAGCTTTTTCTCAGTAGGATGCAAATATGCAAAAAACATACGATTGTAAAAGGAAATGCATACATCTATGTGTTACTTGTTTTTGTTGCTGTTACACGTACTCGAACGTAAGGTAATGAATATTAATATATAATAATTATTTTACCACTTTAACATTATTGTGATTATTCCTTGTTTAATTTTCATTCTTGTACATATGTATATGTATGTATAGAAAATACGGAAAATGGTAGTGTCATTGTTGTTGTGCTATAGAAGCTTCTAAATACAAACACATATACATACATACACGCGTTGAAATGCATTTATAGAAAAATCTCTTTTTTCCATGTCCTTTAAAGAAAAAGGTCTATTGTACCACGTCGTAAATATCCGGAACATTTAATTATTTTGCGCTTTGGTTCAAACTGTCGATGTTTGACTTTTGTGTGTTTGCGTATTGTTGCAATAACGAATTTGCCGCCTCCTTTATGGTCACCGCCTGCAACTCCTCCTCTTCCCCAGCCTCTTCCTCATTCTCTTCCTCGTGTTCCTCGCAAATGCTATCGTGATGCTTGCGAGACTCGCGTTTACGCATGTAATTAGTGAGTGGCCGCTTTTTTTGTTCCTTGCAGAATGGGCACTCTTTCTTTTGCCCCTTTACCGATTTCACTTGCCTGCATTTTTCTGTAATAAAATGAGAAAAAAACCAATCGTGAACCAAAAATGTTAACATTCATCTATATGACGCATATATTAAGCAGCGAGACTAAGTTCTTTGTTATGTGAACGCGCGTCGTCGGTTATTCTATGCTGAAATGACAACTGAGGTTATTAACCGTTCAAAATCTTCAATTGAGAGCGCGTGTGCAATAACAACAAGTGTCTACAAGGCCTTACTCAGATAAATATTTAAGTACCCAGGTACCCAGTACTTTTCAGAATAAATTTATTACTCAATCTGGGGTACTGTCATGTGCGACATAAAAACACTAATACCACTTAAATAATTGTACTCTAATTACCATGCGTGATAAATTTACATATAAAGTACATACAAGTATATGTGATATAAGTTCGAAGGACATTAAGTTTTGCATTTTTGTATATATACTTATTTCAGAGATTATTTTTTACTAACTCAAATTGTATCTACATACATATATAAACGCATTTTGGATGTGTGAGCGAATGTTAATGCATGTGTCTAAGCCTAATACTGATATACATACTTATATTCTGCTCGTACTTGAACTTGTTTTCGTATTTATGTTTCTATAATTAATATTTCTCACATGGCGCTTATACTTCGGTTCATATCATTTCGCACTTTAGAAGTTTCTAAATGCATTACAAGATAATCGGATATGATATCAGTTATCTTGTGCTACTAAGTATTTAGTTAAACGCAAGGGAATAACACTCGAACTGTACAACCTTAAACTAAATCATATCTAACTTAGTCGATTCTTATCTTAAACAAATAATAAAATAAATTTTCGGATTTAATATTAAAATCCAAAATAAAACAAAAAATTGTATTTTTAATAAACAAGGGAGGGATATTGCTAAATCCAATTAGCTCATCGTGCTGATCATTTATATACATACGTACATATGAATATGTTATAGGGTATCTGACGTTTACTTCCGGGTGTTAAAATTTTCGCGGCAAATTTAATATACCCTGTCCATGGTGTAACTACAGATTATTTATCATAAGTAACATTCCCTTTTACTTATGATAAATAATTCATAGCACCAAAAAATTTAAAAAAGGTTAGTTTTAGTGCAAAAAGCAAAACCAAGAACTACACTTACGAGTTATATAGTTTTTTATATGATATTTAATTTTTATATACTCTAGTTGAACATTTTCGGAATGAATAAAGGCTTATTTACATATTCTGTGCTTTAACGTAAAATGCGTCAATACTACATTGAACTTGTAAACTTTCTTCTCCCTCCAATCTGGGGAAGCGTTTCAGAATAAGATGGCCTTCAAATCACGCAAATATTTGCAGGTTACTAAGACTTAACAAAAATAAACAAATAATCCCATTTCCTGGTTGACGTCAAAGGCAAATATATCGAACCGCATGTAACGGTTTAGCTTATAATATACATAAATATATATCAAATTGTTGGTCAGTATTACAAAAGTCAGGAACTGGTTATACAAAATGTGAATTCAATATAAATTAATATACAAATTTACAAATATGCCAATCTATTTAAAAACGGATTTTTTAGCCAATTTATGATTATTTAAATAAATATGTTTAAATACAGTACTGAGTAAGAAATTGAATTCGCTCCTGAAAATTAATATTAAATACACTTATTACAAATTTTCTAAAAATATTCCTTTTTTGCAGTGTAGTAAATTTTTTTTTTTTTTGGCATCATAGTCGTAATTAGATTGGCCTTGTTGCGCTGATAAGCTTTTTTACTATAAATAACCATGCCTAGGTATTGCCTTACATGCACCCTAATACAGGTACTAAGTACATATATACCTAATATATACAAATAGATATGAATATAGTAAATACTAATATATTGGTATATACATATTTCAAATAACACTCTTTTATGCAAAGGCGTTTCTATTTGTCTATATAGAACAGATTTTTTGAAATAGTTGCTTTTTATATGATTTTAATTGACGTGTGAGCAAAGCCTATATGACCACATAGTGTCTGTTTATCAACAGTCACATGCGATTGTGTGATTAAGCAACGATTAAGACAACGTGTTTTTGAACTATACAAATATTTAGTTTGTTCACATGTCAGTTTATATACCATGTATGTATGGAAGTGTGACTAAAATGTATATATTTATAAATATACGATATTTGTTTATTAATAAGTTTACATACATATATAATACAGACTGAAATTTTTAAAAATATAGATCAAATGTATGTAAACGTACATATATATGTATTATATGTATGTGTTTTTATATACACATGATTGTGTTAATATATATATACATATATATATATATATATATGTAGACACATACATATATGTTTATTGGTTTATTATTTGATAATAATAATTATGCTGTTTTAAAGTGCCTATTTTTTTACGTTTATACGACACATCTATAAACATACATACATCCATATATAAACTCCCTGATAAGGTGATTAGAATTATTTACCGATAGTAAAATATTTAATTTTCAACTTCAAATGATAATTTTGCACTGTGTATATTTATCAATTTTTTTCAACCTTTCAAGCATGTGGACTATACACGTTTATAAATATTTTCAGAGAATGGTCTGGATCTAGTTGAAGTGCATTCGAAATACAAAAATTAAAACGTTAAATATACATTTATATAGCAGATTTATATATCAAGGTATAGGAGTGCTACGTTGTTGGCCATTAAGATTCTATTAACAACATTTTTTTTTTAGAAAACCTGCTAAGATACATACTTTTATATAATATTAGACTTTCTCATTTTTATACAACTTATATTTTTCAACTAAAAGAAAGGAGTATACAAACTTTTAGAAGGAAAAGGCGGATACTCTATAAAATATATACATATCGTCACCTAAAATACGAAAGAACGTTTGATCAAAAAATTCGAAATTGAGTGTTTCATTGATTACGACCCACTACTTCAAATTACATACATATAAGTACATATCTACAACATTTTAAGGTCCTGCTATCAGATATAACCCAGTTTTTACCAATATTTAAATTTTGTTTAACTCATGTTCCATTTTATARCGTTTTTCATTCTTTCTGTCCCTATATACGTGAACTAGTCTCTCTGTTTTTGAGATATGTATTTGAAATTTTGTCTATCCAAAAAGACGATCATTTGTCGGAACCGGCATAGATGATAAACAAATTGATCAGATCCAACAAAACCAAGTTAACATATCTTATTTTTTTTTTTTTGTTAAGCGTTCAATTTCTTGTCATTTTGCAATGCTTAAATGTTAAACTGCAAAAGAAAAATTAAATAAAAGAAAAGAAAAAACTAAAAAGTAYTCATACAGTGACAAAGTTTCTCACTAAATATAATCCAATTGTGTCACTTTAAATTTGAAATCGCGGTTTTTCACCTTTTTCAGAGTTTGCGGTCAATCTTAATTGTTCTTTGAAAATAAAACACGTACATATATTGCCAAAGTGAGTATCCATAATTCTAAGAAGAAAGCTTTTTAATTAAATTGGAAATTATCCGCGTATTACTAAATTCATTTATATTGAAAACTGTATTTCAATTGAGCTCATTTTGTAGTTAACCAATGTMGAAACGCTTGATCTCCGTAATCAAATGAACTTAACTGTAAATGCACGTATAGTATATAAGAATGTACATATGTACATACATATATAAATAGAACTGGTTCAGATGTAACGTTTAGTCAATGAAATTGGCATTTGCTGAGAAATTAACCTATTGTAATAGTTATTTCATAATAAGTGTATTAATATTTATATACTTTTATGCTTGGTTTATATATTACCAAAAGTTGTATTGATTTCCCAGAATTTAATATTTGTTTGATGAGTTCTACTAAATTTTAACTCAGCTATGAAACACATAAAAAAAGTTAAGTAAAAATTTCTTGAATATTACAACAATATACACAATTATTTTGTAAAGYTAAGCAAATCTCGTGAACGTCTCAAAAAACTTTATTATACAAGCATTATTTTCAGTTCAATGTACATATTTCAAATGAACTTAAAAAAAAAGGAATAAGAACAAAAATTTAACAGCCTTTTTTGGGTAAAAATCCTTACAGAAAAGTCGAAATAATATATAATATTTTCTCTAAAAAACACTTATTGATCTGAAATCTGTGCAAGAAAAAAATATTATATGTACATATATGCAAATCTCTCAATTAAAACAGTGAATAGTAATATAATGGAAATAAAGCTACAATTAAGTACTTAATTACATATATGCATACATCAGATCCAGACATTGATCGATAGTGGTGATCGGCATTCATTTGACGTTGAATAGAACTTTTGTATGCATTTTACTCGCTTGTCATTTTCGAAATTGTTCACATAAAATAAACTTAGCATAAATTTCTAATAATGACAACATTACACGACAGAAAATCAAACTCTCAGCATGACAGTAAAACTGTATACAAATTAATATCGAATAATGGAAATTGTTTTATAATGGAAATATTTTCCTGCCTTTAATTCTTACAAACTTCGATTTATATAACTTTGGGCAACACCCAAACTTGGCTTTGCCTTACTTGTTTACAAAAATTTACATAGTACTAATAGTTTTAATTTCACGGCTTTTATATATCGAATTATTTACTAGATATTAAAATCTCAGCGAAAGTCTTTCTATACTATAGAACCATCGTAATCGCCGTTAACCTGGTTTTTATTACCTTCTTTATATTCATACGTTCTAATTAGTATGGTAAACAATTTTTAGTTTTACTTAAATTGAACATACATACATATGTATGTATCGTAGCTAGTATGTATAAAAATAACATTTATATGTATTTTAATACATCTACTTGTATGATGGCAATGTAACAAGGTCAATTGGCTTTATTTATTATTTTAAATTGCTTGATCTGATCACTAAGTGACATGAATCATAAAGCGAGGTACTAAGCTGCTAGGCGTTGAATATGGTTTAAATTATGTTTTAAAAATAATAATTTAATTTTKTCCTTGCATACCACCTTGCATACCACTGAACACTAACACTTAGTCCCTTCTGGCATTACAATTTTGGCGCTTGGAAGATTCCTTGCGCGCAGACTCACGCCCAGCTCTTAATAAAAAGTTCCATACAGAATATTATAGTATTTAAGTATGTACAAACATACTTATATATATATGTATATGTATTATAAAAATAAAATTTGGTGTATAACTATATTTTAGTTTCACATCCCAATGATAACAAAATTTCTCTATGGCTTTACTAACAACTGCTAAAAGCGCTTGTACTGAATGTTGTTTACATTCATAGATGAGAAATACCAATGCATTCACGGATACGCATTCCCGTAAAAATTTACATACACTTTATATATACTTAACTATGTACCTTATATGCAAGTGAATGTGCGCATTATGGCTCGAACAGGTTGAAAGATCTATTAACGTTTTTGAGTTGTTATTGCGTTGTAAAAAAATAAGCATGCTATCAAAATAAAGTTTATCTTTAAAACTAAGAATAATTATAATTTTAGTCTCACAATACACAATAAAAACACTCATATGTGTTACCACATTTGATAAGTTTGCATATGTGTTTTCATACGTATTATAAATAAACATRTGCTTGTATGTATGTATAAGTCATATATGCATATATGTATATGTGTGTTTGTACAAACATCATACATATATAAATACTGCTAATGCAATCAGGTATGATAATTAGCTGGGCGTGTTCTGGTACAATACTTCTATACGTTCTTATATGTATGTATGTACATATATATTTACATTAGACAGACCGATGACCTTTTCATTGTTTTTTTTTATATTTTTCCACTTTTTGCACATACTGCATAAAAGTTGTTATGTTCGATACCACTTCTGCCCCCTTCCACTATTACTTTATTATTAGTCGTTTGTTGTGAGTTGAAAATCTTTTAAACATTTAAACAAAAACGTATTAACTCAATTTACCCTTTATGTGTTTTGCCTACCTTGAACCTTGCTGTAGGAATCCTTAGATGGTGGACTCGAGCCATGTTCCAACGAACCATAGGGGAACTGCTCATAGTCGCGGTAGTAGGTGCCGCGTACTGACCCACCGTACGACATAGTCGAATCGCCAACAAAAACACCCCATACATCCATGTTAATGTTTTACTATAATGTACGCTTCGTGCASTCGGCTTTTAGACTTGATGTTGATTTAAACGAGTTATGTTGGTTCGAATAGTCTTGCGGACACTTCTCCGAATTCGTTGTGYTTTTCGTAGTTGTTTTTGTATAGATTTGGGTACAGACAAACAATTTTTGCTATGTTCGTAGAAATTGTGCGTATTTATTTCTCGAAGTCAAACGCTAACCAAAGTTGGATTCGTAGTTGCGGTCACTTCCGTGGATGCAGRCATAAATTGGTGAACTACAACTATTTGTACACTTTTTTCTTCTTAACCAATGTGCTTGTCGAGGGCGTTTGTTGACTTCTGTAAAAATTATATGCATATACATATATGCCWCCTCTATATTTTTATATGTTCATAGGCGTAAATATGTATATCTTTTTATAATCATGCGTGCATTCACACTGTTTTTACTTGTCTTAAACTTGTTTCTTTTTTGTTTAAATGAACTGAAAAATTGTGCTCTTAATACACCATTCGTTAAATGCGAAATGTATATAGCAGTTGTGTGCGAAACTACTAAAAGTCCTAAAAAACACACTTTATTGTCCGTTGGATTCTCACAAGAGACTGAACTGAATTTGTTGTCTCGTCCGCTATATGGCTCACCGTTCTATAGCAGCGAACGCTTTTCGCTTTCCATATACGAGTATTTTTATAGATTCGTTGTTGTTGATGTGACTACTCATGACAAGTATACATATGTATATGTATGTGCATTTGTGAGTATGTGACTCTGCCGACTGAATTTTTTCATTAGTTTATTTACATGTATATTTGCGTTGCGTTTATTTTGCGCTGGCTAGTCTCGTGTTGTTTTCTCCATTGCAACCGAATACGAGCGCCTTCACCGCCCGCAAATGGAAACCACGAAGATTTAAATGCAATCTCTCTCATCGTCGACGTCGCCCCATCCTAGGCTGGCGTATGCTACGATTTTTAAGACGAAAAAGAGTGAGCGAAGTGGTGTACGTGAGTAAAACGGGGTAGCGCGCTGTGAAGGTAAACTCGTGTACATATAAGTATGTATATATATATATAGATACACGTATAAAGATATATGTACATACATACGTTTGTTGTTGTTTTAAGAATGACTGATTAACAACGGAGTACTGGAGAAGTTATAAACTTCACAACCGATTACTTTCTGATTGTATGCATCCATACATATGTATGTACATATATACATACGTACGAATTCAGAAGTAAATGCGCTCTGAGTATAATAGGAGGCCACTAATCACCATAAACAAATATGCCTTCATGCTACCCACCTTTAAGGTATGACCTTTTTTGATGCATTGTGTAAAACATTCGATTTCGCAAATTATTACAACAGAGGCCATTCATTCTTGCTGTTGTTATTTTTTGTGACAAAAAAAAAAAAAAATCGTTTCACAATATTGACTACAGGTTTCAGCGCAGTCTAGATAAGGTTTATATTTAAATTTGCACTTGCAAACAAAGAGCGGTTGGTAGTGCAACACTGTAAATATTTACAGATGTAAAGTAACTACGTTCCTTCTGTGACCTGTAGATATTTAGTTATATGCTTTAGTTGTCCGATCTGATAGGAGCATTGACTTCTCCATACCTTTATTTAATAAAAATTAAATTAGTTTATATGACAGCTGCATATGTAAATACATAGTACACATATGTATATGCTTAATGGATCGTAGCACTGCCCTGGACAATAATCTGCCAAATTTTGTGAAAATATCTTGTCAAAGATATAGAAATAGACGACCGTGGCATAGCTCGTCACTATGTATGTATTATATACATATGAATATACTTTATAGGGTCTCCGACATTTCGTTCTTGGTGTTACAAACTTTATGGCAAATTTAATATACCCTGTTCAGGGTATAGAAAAGCAGTGGGAAAGTCAAAATTCCTTTTTTTTATCATTATTTATTCTAACTGAATTTGAGAAACAGAAAATCCTTTATCTGTACTACCAATAAAACACATGCATAACAAAGCTAAATTCCTTTTTAAACCATTTCTGACTCATAATTGTGCACTTATTAACTTAAAAATGTAATGTGAACGAACTTTTTCATCTGCAGTCTTGATTATCATAAATTAACGATAAAACATTGCGAAAGAATTAAATTCGATGRAATCGTGAATAAATTACAATAAAGTTTTTTATATTCTTGATATATATTAGAGGCACAATTAATATACCCCAAACTATTAAAATGCTCCCAGTGTTTCATCAAGGTACCTAACATACTGTCCCAATCGTCTGGAGTAAAGTCAGCCGGATTTTCGAAAATTCTAATATTGGATATTTTATCTTAACTAGATGTTATATCTATTTTAGACACAAAGATATACTGTTATAAATAAAACAGGCTTTCTCATTTTTAATGCGATAACTCACATAATAGCCGATATATGTGGTATAAAGTCACCCGGTATTAGGAATATGGGGGCTACGGGAAGAATTGATCCGATTCAACCCATTTTTGACACACAGACATACTATTATCAGGAAAGGATTCTCTTGAAATTTTAATTATATGTCTCACACAATTACCGATTTGTCCAGTAAAAAGGAAAATATAAGTGCAGAGGACCAAATATTCGGATTTGGACAATTTTTGTATAAAAGGTGACATACTACGCAGTTCTATATCTTAACTTAGTGCTTAGTTGTTTGTACTTTAAATCATTACTATATCTAAATTTTTGCTCAAGTTATTGCTTGCATAAACAGACAGATGGACGGACGGAAGACAGTCACTCGGATTTAAATTTTTTTGTGATATAAACAATTGTTAGGTTAACAAAACAATTRTACTCTGTAGCAATATGTTGCATGAGTATAAAATATAAGAAACTATTAGCTGAAAAAGCTTCGAAATTAAATGTTGAAGTTTAAAATAAGTATACCCTGGTACTTTCAACGGCATTTAAAAAATAATTAACAGTTATCCTTCTCGTTTTGACTAAACTATGTATGTATTTAAYTTTTATTTATAAGTACACATACATTTTCTTTTTTGCAATTTAGGAAAATCTCGGAGGCAATTCGAGAACTGTTATGCTGGCCACAATTTCACCAGCCAATATAAATATTGATGAGACTCTAGCTACCTTACGCTATGCTTGTCAAGCTCGTACAATAGTGAATCGGGTCAAAGTGAACGAATCACCACATGATAAAATTATACGGGAGCTACGTGCAGAAGTCGATCGCCTTAAGTCGCTGAGAAATGAATATGAACGTCAACGCCGCTTGTCGGCCACTACTAATCCAACGCCTAGAAAAATAATTATTGAAACTTCAGTTGATGAGAGTGAGGTCGAGGCGTTACGACAACAACTTGCTGAACGCGAAAGAGAACTAGATAAAGCACAAAAATCCTGGATGCAACGCTTGAAAGAAGCTGAAGATCAGCGAAAGTCGGAGTTACGACTGTTACGTCGTAAGGGTCTGGCCTTAGAATTGTCGACAGATCAAAAGCATGCCTGTCTAGTAAATTTGACAGCTGATGCAATTTTTAGTAATACACTATTTTACATATTACCGGAAGGACAAGTAAAGATCGGTCGTACGCGCACTTCGTCCTATTGTAGTCAACCGGACATATTACTTGACGGCCCTTTGGTTGCCTATCACCATTGGTATGTCTATAATTATTTCATTTTTATTGTAAATATTTTTATATTCTGTATTAATTTATTGCAGTATAATTGAAAATATACATGGTGAATTGTTCATAATCCCACAAAATGATGATTTTGAAACGTATCTGAATGGTGATCTTGTAACTGAACGCAAAAAAATGTTCCATGGAGACCGTTTAGTGATTGGTGGTACACATTATTTTCGGATATCCAATCCGTTTTGCTGTCAGAAAAATAAAAATTTGGTGAGTTTCAGTAAATAATTAGTTAAAATTTATAAGACATTCGTCCTTTGACAATGCCTTTCAAGTTTAATCAACCAGCAATTTAGTTGGGAAGTAATTGGAATCAAAGCCTGCGAAATTCTGTTAAGTGCTGATGATGATGTTGTAAGGTGCCTGAATGTTCGAAAATTCTGATTTCCCCCGATTTTAGATATTGCATGCACGAAGGATTCCTCCTTATCAAGAACTTAAAAGCTATCAAAAATTTAAAACTCTTACAATGACCTTAATTTAACAGTGTTAAGTATGTACTTCCATATGGTCGATCTCAATTCAGACACGACTAAGTCAAAATCTAAATTGATCCCTAAAGTTTGTAATAATAGCAGTTTATTACCTTAGTTGGGTGTTTGATCCATCTTATGAATCTTCATCAAGATTAAGGTATTATATATTTACATAACAAATATGTAATTTTGAGACAAGTTATATGTTCTTCGACCAACACTTCTTCTTTACTGACGTAGACACCGCTTACGCGATTATAGCYGAGTTAACAACAGCGCCATTTGGATATTCCAAACGAMGCCAAGTCCTTCTCCACTTGRTTCTTGGGTACTGTGTCGAATACTTTCAGAGCTGGARTGTTTTCGTCCATCCGGACAACATGACCAAGCCAGCGTAGCCGCTGTCTTTTAATTCGCTGAACTATGTCAATGCCGTCGTATATCTCGTATAACTCATCATTCCATCGAATGCGATATT